TCCTTCTAGATTACCTTAAGGCATATTATCTAGGGGTGGCAACTGAGATGCAGTGTCAATCGAGGGCCAGTCAAGGAATAGAATTAAATACAAAATGAGTGTCACGCCTTCATGAATTTTCCTCACTCTGCCGAGGCCAGGCAGCAGGCTGTGATTCTGTTTTCTGGGTTGTGTGATGCAGACCTGGACCAGATTCTGGCCTGTGATATATGGCATTGAGGGGCTAGAAACCCACTGGCATAACATAGGCTAAGAAATTCAAAACTTCTGAACACGAGAATAATGTATGGGATCTCAGGAACATTTGCCCATTCACTCCCCAACTTTGCCCTCTGAAGAAATTAAAACATGAGTCCTGTAACCCTTGCCTAGAGAAATGAGTGGAGCACGGAAGCATTAGATACTTTCAAAAGCACTTCTGCTGCCCCTTCTCTCCACACTGAGGAAGCCAGTAAGAAGCAGGTGCTGTTAAGACAGGCTCTCTGATTTGTAGCGTGTTGGAGGGATCAGGAATAGATAAATCCAGGTGGTGGCAGTTAACATCAGCAGCAAAGTGGGTATTATTCCCATAACAGGTATCTGGAGAATCACCTGACATGCTGTTATGGACTGAATTGTCTTCTCTCCCCCTTCCCAAATTCGTATGTCAAAGCCCTAACTCCCACAGACTGTATTTGCAGATAGAACCTTGAAGGAGGTCATTAAGGCTAAATTAAGTCAGAAGGGTGGGGCCCTATTCTGATAGGACTGCTGTCCCTGTAAGAAGAGGAAGAGACACCAGAGATAGCTATCTCCATCTCTACGTCTCTCTCCAAGGCAACCATCTGCAAGCCAGGAAGAGAGGCCTCACCAGAAACCAACCCTCCTGGCACCTTGATCTTGGACTTCCAATCTCTAAAACTATGAGAAAATAAATATCTGCTGCTTAAGCGACTCAGTCTGAGGTATTTTGTTATGGCAGCCTGAGTGGACTAATGCACATGGAGAGATCTCTGGCTATGGATAATTAACCTTGGAGTTCCCAGGGATGAAATCTAAACAACCCACCAAATCCTTAGTTAGTCTGTATAAGTGAAAAGACACTAAGGTCTGGTAAAGAGGGGCTCCTGGCATTTGAGTCACCACACTAGCCTAACGACGAGAGAAATAGCTTCAATACAATTCCCAGGCACGAATCATTAATCACACAGCCCCCGAGTCCTTAGAATGGAGGGTGGTCAGGTGAACCTGAGCGAGAAATCTGCTGTAGCACTTATGATCCTTCTCCTTGGCCTTCCCCCAAAAGCACCTGCATTAACTGACCTTGGCAAGTTGCGACAGCTCCAAACCTTTCAGAAACTAACTGGAAACTGCCTTTAAGTCAATGCTGCTGCCAGGGGACCAAGAACACCTCTGCAGTACTTCCTACCACAGAGTGGAGAGAGTGCTTGGGGAGGTTAGGGGAAAAGGGACCTCTTCCCTGAGTCAGCCATTCAGTGGGCTCACTGAGATCCTAAACCCCTCCCTGTGGGATTAGTCTGCCAGTTCCTGGATATACTTAGTTAGCCTCAGGCCACCTCTACACATTGTTTAGACTGTGTACTTTTGTTACTGTTGTTGAGGTTCAGCCTCACGGGGCCCCTGCTGTCTCAGACACGGACATTTGTGTCTCATCTTAAGCCCACCAGACCAAGTCCCCAACCACCACTCCAGGGCTCCTAATTTGGTTGGTATTTGTCAGGGATAACCCGAGGTTCTGTTGCTTTGTCTAACCTCTGGGCTCCTACACGCGGTGTCGTGGAAAACACTAAAGTTATCTTCTGTACCCTCTGAAGGATGTAGAGAGAAGGCATGGAGTGGGAGGTTACCCCCATCCTGTTCTTCCCAAGTCCAACATATCATGGTCCCTACTCACCCTGCGGCTACAGGCTGCTTCAGCAAGCCTTCTGACTTCAGAAATCCCCAGCCAGAGACAGGTGTCCATCTCTTACATACTATTGGGTTGGCCAAAAAGGTTTGTTTAGTTTTTCTTCCCATACGATGGCTCTAGTAGTGCTTAGTTGTCTTCAACTTCATTCGAAACAATTTTGTTCGATCGTATTGTGACAGCTTTCACATCAGCGTGCATTAAGAAACCTTATCAAAATTGGTGAATTTTTGTGCAGTTATTTAAATATTGAAGATGGAAGAAGAAACATAGCATTTTTGAAGTATTATATGCTTTATTATTTCAAGAAAGGTAAAAATGCAACTGAAACACACAAAAAAAAGACTTGTGCAGTGTGTGGAGAAGGTGCTGTGACTGATTGAACGTGTCAAAAGTGGTTTGTGAAGTTTCTTGATACTATTGACATTTTGGCCAAATAATTCTTTGCTGTGGGGCTGCCTTATGCATTGGAAGATGTTTAGCAGCACCCCTGGCCTCTACCCACTAGAAGCCAATAGCAGGAGATAGCCGACATACCCAAAATATCCACATCAATAAAGTTATTGGTGAGAATGTAAGATGTGTCTTTTATTTTACAGGAAAAACTACACGGACTTTTCGGCCAACCCAATACTACATTGGCTACCTGGGCCCTGGGGGAAGGGGTATTAGGGTAAGAAGGGGCAAATCAAAGCTATTAGAGCTCCTCTTCATTGTCAACAGAGGAAGTATAGTGCAATGTAGCTTATCCGTATGGGAATTGCAGAGATTTTTGCCACACTCCAAGACTTGAAAAATGCAGGTGTTATTCCTACCACACACAGGCTAATGTGGAGTCACAGCTAAAACAGACTCTCCAGCTAGTGCAAATCACCATGCTAGTAGGTCTTCCCCTAGCCTTTGGCATCTAGCAAATCCAATGCTGCTCAAAATACTTGGGGCAAAACAGTATGCTCTACAGAGTCTGTGGCAAGCCCCGACAGGAGAATCCACAGCGGACGCTGCTAGGATGTAATACATACTACGAACCAGCAGCCTATGTATAGTGCTGCTTCCCCCCATTGCCAAGGTCTGCAAGTCTGGAAAGGGGGGACTGGAAATAAAGGTGGTGCCTCTCATAATTATAATAATACCACTGACTCCCCTCCAACAGCTTTAATTCCAGTCCCTGCAACTTTGATCTCTGCTGCTTTAGAGGTTTTAGTTTCCTAGAAGAAACACATCTAGTTTGGGGTGAAACAATGGGTCCCCTAAATCTGAAGTCACTCTTAGCTCCTGGAGACATTCAGAACAGGTGGTTACGGTGTTCATGCTATAGAATGAGGGCAGGGAGGAATATGGATGAGACTTGGGATCTCCTAGGGTGCCTTCTCATACTATAATCCTGAGGGGGGTGCACGGCAGAGTACCGCAGCCCTACAAATGGCTGCCAATGGCTCAGACTCCTTAGGAATGAAAAACTGAAACCCTCCCCACACCCCGTAGGTAAAGCAAACGGAATGTGGAATTGATAGAGAAGTCAGTCACAAATAATGGCCATGTCATGGCTCTGTGCAGAAATGAGGACTGTACCTTCTATCTGTATTTCCATGCTTATTGTCATTTTTTTGAAACTTCTCTCACTTCTTCTTTAGTATTTTAAGTAGGATAGAGTGGTGCTACTGGTGGTGACTTCACCATTTATGTCATGGGATTGTAGAATATCAAGTAGGGATAATGGCAGAGCTAGAGAAAGAAGGGCCCTCACTGGGAGAACTTGAACTACAAACAGAGGTTCCACAAGCTCCCCTCTGACTATGGTAACTGGACATGTTTGTATGTGTTGTCTCTCTCTCGGTAGTTCTCGGCTGTACATGGAACAATTCAATTATGCCAGGAGGGAGCATTTTTGGATTCAGTGGAAAAAGGATGTTTGCCCTGGCTGCCCTGGTTCAGTGGACTGAGTGCCGGCCTGCGAAACAAAGGGTCGGCGGTTCGATTCCCAGTCAGGGCACATGCCTGGGCTGTGGGCCAGGTCTCCAGCAGGGGGCACGCGAGAGGCAAACACGCATTGATGTTTCTCTCCCTCGCTCCTTCCCTTCCCCTCTCTCTAAAAAGAAATAAATAAAATCTTTAAAAAAGAAAAGGAAAAGGGTGTTTGTACATGCTAGGGATACAAGGAGTAGAAAGTAATTATTGTCTATAATATTTTGCTGTCTACCTCCCATCCCCTCATTTCGGTAACTGCTGGAAATCACGGAGATTCACTTCTTCTGACCACAGGAGTACTTGGGATAGAAACACAGGTGATGGAAAAAATATGGGATATCCTCGCTTGCTCTGGAGCCTCCATGTTTTAAGGCTTCGGTCGCCTTGCCCAGAATCATTCAGATTCTTTTTGTAAAAAGAATTTGTAAAAAGTACCACATCTGTAAAGTATAGTGCGACTAACTATGCCTGGACTGGGCCCTTGGATTCTGGAGACAGTCTCGCTGAGTTGTTGGTGAAGGGAGCCCATGTGAGTAATCGCCGTGGTGACCAGAACCAGGCTGAGTCCGAAGGCAGTCACAGAACTGCGGAACTGCTTCCCAGGAAGGGGGTCAAGGCTTCCAACATAAAACCCGGGTCGTAGACCAGCTAGAGAGACACCAGGGCCTGGAACCTGCATCTGTGCCAGTGAAGACAAAAGTTCGGTCATATCAGCAAGTCCTTAATAGGCTGCGCTTGGCCAGCCATTGCTCTGTGCTTTCTTGACTGGAGTGAGGTGTGCGGCGGGGAATCGAGTTCGGAGCGGGGTGGGCAATGCAGATAGATGTTCAGAGGCGGGTCCAGGCCCTTGGTGGGCGGAGGTACGGGGGCACCAGGAGCGTGGGCGTGTGTCGCCCACAAGGCGAGAGGTCGGTATTGCGCAGGCCAGAAACAGAAAAACCGGGACAAAAGTGGTAAAACCCGAGAAGATGGGGACGGGTCAGGGGATGTACCAAATTTCATTTAAAGAAGCTGGTTTGAAATCGAAGAGGAAGGGGCTGAGCTTTCCTGGGCCGGCCTCCTGGGAGGGGCGGGAATCAGGGGAGGAGCCCGGGATACGTAGGTCTGTACCGCGAGGGAGGTTCCCGCTGCACGTGGGAACCAGAGGGTCCCTTTCCCAGGGTTGAGGAGTCCTGCCTCAGCACCCTTTCATCCCCTTGGTTCCTGCGTAGTATTTCGTGAGTCTCGACTCTGGACGCCACTTGAGTGAGTTTTTGTGAACACCTTTTCCTGCTTATGGGTGAATTTTTCAGCCAGAGAAGTATTACACCGCTGGTTGTAGATGTGGTGACCTTTTACCATAAAGGAAAAGCCCCAAATATTCGGCAGCGTAACTTAGAGCAGGATATTAAACAAATAATGTACCAGGCGGAGGTGAGACCTGTGAAGTACGCGTTTGGTTGGAGTTGTCTGGGGAAGAGGAAATGGCTACGGCCAGTTCAAAGAAGTAGGGTCGGAATCCGCGGGGCGCGGCAGCGGTTTATAGAAACTAGTCTCATGAGTGGGGCAGTGATCATGAGAGTATTCCACGACACCCGGCACTATACAGTGAGGGTGAAACACGATGCGTGTGGGGACCAGCGTGCCCTTTCTGGGGGATTGAGGAGTGCTCCAGTTTCATCCGTTCAGTCCCTCAGCCCTAGCGTATCCTTTGCTGACCTTCGACTGTGGACGCCTCTTACATAAGGTCATTTGAACACGTTTTCTTGCTTCTGGGTGAATCTCTCAGCCAGAGAAGTATTGCGCCGTTGGTCGTAGATATGCTGGCTTCGCACTATAGTGGAAAAGCTACAAATATTAGCCAACAAAATCCAGTGCTAGATACTCAAATAATAATTCACCATTACTACTGTTAAGAGGGTTAAATGCTAAGAAATATCTTAATTCGTTATAAAGCTTTCCAGCAATTCTCTGTTTGGTTGCAGGGCAGTTCACAGCACTGCAGCTTGTTTTCATGGCCAGCATGAGAGGGAGCGTGAGTCAGCTTGCAAGACAGACTTATATATAGGGTGGGGCAAATGTAAGTTTACAATTATGAGTTCACAAAACACAGTTTATTCTTCTATTACTTATTAATTATTGTATTACTTTCCATATGAACAACTGTAAACCTACGTTTGCCCTACCTTGCATAATGTAACATTCACAGGAGTGACATTCTATTGTTTGCCCTGTTCTGTTTGTTATAAATACATAATAGTCCCTATCCACACTCAAGTGCATCATTAGGAGGTTGAGATCGTGAGGGTGACATTAAAGTCTGTCTCCCACAGTACGGATGTGTTTACCACACTTTGATCCATTCAGACATTTAACAGCATTTGGCATGTTTAAAATTCTTGATGATTAGACCTGGCTGGTGTGGCTCAGTGGATTGAGTGCCGGCCTGCAAACTGAAGGGTTGCTGGTTCGATTCTCAGTCAGGGCACATTCCTGGGTTTCAGGCCAGGTCCCCAGTTGGGGGGGTGTGAGGGACAACCACACATTTATGCTCCTCTCTCTTTCTCCCTCCCTTTCCCTCTGTCTAAAAATAAATAAATAAATCTTTAAAAAATAAATCTTTTCACAATTACAAGTAAATCAGCTATAAACATTCATGTAAATATTTTTGCTTGACCATCTGTTTTCATTTTTCTAGGGTAAATGTCTAGAAGGAGGATTTCTGTGTCATATGGTTCTTTTAAAAAAATTCTCACCAAACTAGGAATTGAAGGGAACTCCTCAATCTGCAGAAGGGCATTTACAAAAACCTGCAGCTAACATCATTCTTAAAGGTAAAAGCCAGAATGCTTTCCACCCTTGAATCAAGTACAAGACACACATACACACTCCCGCCAGTTCAGTTTAACATTGTATTGTAGGTTCCAGCCAGTGCAATAAGACAAAAGAAAAAAGAAGAAAGAAGAAAAAAAAGATATATAAGGCATCTAGATTGCCAGGAAAAAATTCACAGCCTTGTTATTCACAGAGTACATGGTCATTAATATAAAAAAACAGATTCTGTCTGGGATCTAGGATCATCAAAAACAAAAAACGAACTAATAAGTGAATTTAGCAAGTTTTCAGGACACACAGTAATTATGCCAAAATTAGTCGTATATCTAGTAGCAAATAAGTGAACTTTGAATCTGAAACTATTGTATTTATTTTAAATTACTTTTTATTTCTCAGTTATAGTTGATATACAATATTATATTGGTTTCCGTGATTAGACATTATATATAACTTACTAAGTGATCATCGCAATAAATCTCATACCCACCTGACACCATACAGTTATTCCAATAGTATTGATTGTATTTCCTGTGCTGTATTTTACATCCTCATGACTTTTCTGTAACTACCAATTTGTAGTTCTTAATCTCTTCACCTTTTTCACCCATCCTCCCCAATCCCCCTCCCATCTGGCAACCATCAAAATGTTCTCTGTATCTATGAGTTTGTTTCTGTTCTGCTTGTTTATTTTAGATTCAGTTATTGATAAATAGGTATTCATTGTCATGTTATTATTCATATTTTTATTCCTCTCCATCTTTTTCTTCTCCTTTCTCTTCTTCTAGAAGAGCCATGAACATTTCATATAATACTAGTTTGGCGGTGATAAACTCCTATAGCTTTTTCTTCTCTGGGAAGCTCTTTATATGTCCTTCAATTCTTAATGATAGCTTTGCTGGGTAGAATAATCTTAGTTGTAGCTCTTTGCTTTTGATCACTTTGAATATCTCTTGCCACTCCCTTCTGGCCTGCAAAGTTTCTGTTGAGAAATCAGGTGATAGTCTTATGAGAGCTCCATTATAGGTAACTAAATGCTTTTCTGTTGCTGCTTTTAAGATTATCTCTTTGTCTTTAACTTTTTGAATTTTAATTATGATGTGTCTTAGAGTGGGCCTCTTTGAGTTCATCTTGTTTGGGATTCTCGGCTCTTCCTGACTTGTATCTCTTCTTCCTTCACCAGGTTAAGGAGGTTTTTGTCATTATTTTTTAAAATAGGTTTCAAATTTCTCTCTTCTGGCCTCTCCATGATGTGAATGTTGGTACTCTTGAAGTAGCCCCAGAGGCTCCCTATACTATTCTTTTTTTTTTTTTTTTGGATTCTTTTTTTCTTTTTGCTATTCTGATCTGGTGTTTTTTGCCTTTATCTTCCAAATATCTGATTTAATCCTCTTCTTCACCTATTCCACTGTTGATTCCCTGTAATATATTATTCTTTTCAGTTAATGTATTTTTTTTTTTATTTCTGACCGGTTCTCTTTTATGTTTCCTAGTTCTCTTTTTATATTTCCTATCTTTTTGTTAAAGTTGTTATTAAGTTCAGCTACTCTTCCCCTAAGTCCACTGAACATACCTATAGCCAGTGTTTTGATCTCTACATCTAGTAGATTGCTTGTCTCCATTTTGTTTATTTCTTTTTCTGGACTTTTATTTTGTTCTTTCATCTGGGATATGTTTATTTGGCCCTTTGCCTCCTCATTTTGGCAGCTTTCCTGTGTTTGTTTCTATGTATTAAGTAGAGTTGTTACATCTCCTAGGCTTGGTAGAGTGGCCTTATATAGCAGGTATTTTGTAGGGTCCAGTGGCACAGACTCCCTGCTCACCCATCCTGGGCACTCTAGATGTGCTCCCCATGTGGCCTCTGTGTTCCCTCCTGTTGTAGTTTGAGCCTTGATTGCTGTTGGCACGTCAGTGGGAGGGATTGACTCCCAGGCCGATTGGCTGCAAGGATTAGTTGCAACCACTATGGAGAGTATTAGGGTGGTTGGTGATGTAGGCTATGAGAGAATTCACAAAGGGAAGTGCAGAGAGTAAAGCTGGTGTGGAGAGATACACCAGCATTCAGGGGTGGGGGCTTTAAGCTTTTATTGGATTATAAAAGGGTGGGGGTTGCTGTTGTGTGGCCCCTGAAATGTTGGGGGTGTTGCAGCACAGGAGGCTTTAGGTGGTTTTATATAACCTGCAGTTGGCTCCAATGTTATCCTTTGCCTGTGGCTGTGGGGGGCAGTTAGTCACATTCTGTTCCTGCTTTCCAATATTTTCCAGCCCTGGGAACATAAGCTCAGAAGAGTAAAATGGCAATCATGTTTAACAAGGTAACAGGCCTGCTCAGCAAATGGTGCCATGATAGCAAATGGCGTTGGCTTTGTCCTTTCAGAGCCAGCTGTGCAGGGGCTGGCCCCTTGGAGCAGGACTTATTTCAGTGGGGCTCTCTTGCTCACTGAGTTCATCCCTTGTGTGTGCCACTTGCATAGGTGGTTGTGAGATTGGAAAAGCTGGCATTCATGCTGCCTGTCACCTACCAGGCCCGATAAGCAGAGACAGAAATCAAATGTTTATGGGCGCTTTATTCAGGTAGCTAGCAACCTGAGAAGATGGTGGGTTTGTACCCTAACTGGACATCTTAAATCCCATTTAAAACTAACCCTTTTTATAAGGAGAAGAAAAGTGTAGGTGAGGGGTTTGGAATTCAGGGGAAAAGTTAATCAGATAAAATCTGATCAGCTAAAATAAGATAAAATCAGTTAATCAGCTGCAGCATTCTTTCATCTGTGTCCTGGACAGTGGTCTTTACCTGTGTTCTGGGTGGTGGATGTGTCACCCTGGAGCACAATGGCTTAGATACTATCTTGGTTGCTTGCAGTCCTCCTGAGGCACAAAGGTAGAACTGCTGATGGTCTCCTGGAGTCATGGTGGTTTTTACATACATTGATTACTAAGCTTATTAACTATTACCTGAGGCTAAAATTTTTGCAACATGTGAGTCCCCCATCAGTTGAGTGGTGTGTCAATGTGGTCTGAAGATGTTCGCTGGGTGTGCTGGCTCTGGGGGCTCCTGGGAGCTACAGGCCAAAGTGAACTGCCACCTGTGTTCTGCCCAGGGCTACCCGGCATGTGCTACAAAGCAATCTGCAGATGGTTGCTACTTGTGCTGGGCCTGGAGGTGCCCAGGAGAAGCCAAGCTGCAAACCAAGGCCAGCTACCATTAGTGCCAGACCTGGGGCCACTTAGCAAGAGGTGCAGGGCACATGGAGGCCATATGCTGCTTGTTTGAAGATTTTAGGAAGTCTGAAGCTTGAAGCAAGACAGACCATTCATATGGAAAAGCCACTGGAGTCAGCTAGGGTGGGCCCACAAGGTAGGTGGGGCAGAGTCTCAGGGAATCACCAGGGTGGGGAACAGTGATAGGCAGGTTGATGGAGACTCAGATATGGCACCTGCCTGCTGGCTCTGTAGGCAGAAGCCTCTGAAAAGAAACAATAGCTTCTGCCATCACTTCTCTCTGGGAAAAAGCTGCCCCTCAAGCTTTTGTCCTCATGCTTGATAACTGAGTTCCTCCCTGTATGTCCCTGGTATCTTTCAAACTGCTGTCTCAGCACTAGAACTTAGAGTGAGTGAGTCTCAGTAAGTCTGGGCAAGGACCCTTTAAGAGGATCACTGGAGACTCTAACAGCCTCTGTCTCACCAAGCCAGAATCCTCACTGGTTTTTATAACCAGAAGTTATGAGGACTTCTCTTCCTGGCATGGGAACCCTTGGCTGGGAGACACTGGTGCGGGGCTGGGACCCTGGGTTCCTCAGGTGGTACCTACAGAGCTGAGATATCTTTCCAGATTTTTACATGTCACACATGGGTGACAAGTCCGTTCTGTATCGCTGTCTCTCCTACCATTCCTGATGTGGATTCTTCTTTATATTCTTAGTTGTAGGACTTTCCTTCAGCTAGATTTTAGGCAGGTCTAAATGATGGTTGTTGTATAGTTTACTTGTAATTTTGATGTGGCGGTGAGAGAATGTTTGTATTGCATTTAATAACTATGCCACCGTGTTGATCAGAACACTGAAACTGAACTTCTTCTAAACAGCATGAAAATGTCAAAAATTTGGTGTTAAATATGATAGTAACAAAAAACTTGTACATTTAAAACTACAGTACCTTACTGTGATGAATTACAGAGATCTGAGTAATGGACAGATATATGTTCATGGGTTGGGAGACTCAACATGATTAAGATAACAATGGTCTCCATGCCAATCTAGAGAAGCAAGATTGCAAAAATTTTAATTTACAAAAGTGAGAGATTATGAAATTCATATGATAATGTAAATGATATACAATTGTCAAAACTACTTTGGAGTAAGACTTGGAGGACTAATACTATTGGATTTGAAGATTCATGATAAAACTACAGTAATGAAGGCAGTATAGAGTTGTCATCAAGATACGAACATGGATGAATAGAATAAAATATGTGATCCAGAAAAGGACACACACATATATGCATAACTCACTTTTGACAAAAGTATAAATAAAATTGACTGGAAATACAATAGTCCTTTCAAAATGGCATAAGAACAACTAGGTATCATTAAAAAACTTCAATCAATAGCTTCTACGATGTACAAAAATTAACTAAAAACTTTTATAAATCTACTAGTATTACGTAAAATGATAAAACTCCTATAACAAAACAGGAAATGTGGAAGGGACCCGAGGAAGAGAGCCCAGAGGGCTGCGGAGCCCAGCAGACGCAGGCAGGGCAGCCTCGGGCTCTTCGGAGTCCCTGGTCATGATTCCAAAACGGGGTGAGGGGCGGCTGTAGCTTAGACATCGCTCATCTCAGCGGTTCAGCCCATCAGCCATGGAGACCCGGCTGTCCCCTCCCACCCAAGGCCCGGTTCCTGCCCCCCTTCCCCCAGAGGCACCGGCAGCGGGCGGTGGTGTCACCTGAGCCAGAGGGAATGGAGGGGAATGGGCTGGGGTGGCCCACGGGAAGGCCCTAGAGGAGAAGAGATGCTGCCACACTTCCCCTCCACCCTCCTGGGTAGGCAGCCCGAACGCCAGGGCTGTCCTCTTCTCAGCCCTCAGGCCCCAGGGCTCCCTGCAGCTCCCTGTACTGCGTGTTCAGGGCCAGGGGACTGCTCCCTGCCTCTCCTCCTTCTGCTTCAAAAGGCTACTGCTGCCACTTTTGTTCTCCTCCTTCCTCTGTGCGGATGCATTTGGAGACGGGGAAGTGTGGAAAGATGCCTTTCTCCCTAGCCCCCCGCCCGCCACCCCCAGTTTTGCTCTTCGGCCATCTACAGCCCTCCCTGTGCCACAGAATGCCATCCTGTGGCGCAGAGGACCTCCAGGAGTGCCCTGTGGACCCAAGGGATCTGGGAGAATGGGGATTTCCTTGCGCAGAGGGCATTTCTCGGGTGGGGTGGGGGGAGCAGATGGAGAAGGGGCTTGGAGAGGAGGCAACACTAGGAGAACCGGGGACCTCTCTGGGTGGGGGAGGGGGGCGACTCTCAGGTTTCCAATTCTTTCTTTCAGGAACCGGTGTTGGTAGCTGGGGACTCACCCCTTCTCTGGCCCTCATCGAGAGTCAACCCTGTGCCCAAGGGCTCTCCTTGGCCCTAGAGCTCCCTGGTAGCAGCTGAGTGAAGGGCCTGGCTGGGGAGGAGATGAAGGGCCTTCTGCCGGCCGAGGCCCCAAGAGGTAGGGTAACCCAGTGGTCTGGGCCCGGCATGGGGAAGGACAGGACCGTGTCGCCTGGGCACTGAGATCTCCTACCAACACCACAGGGGAGTCCTACTCTCTCTACCTAATGACAGTGGAACCTGGGGTTCTGGGGGGAGCAGACTTGCCCTTGTCACACAGATAAGAAGTGGTTAAGCTAAATCTTCCCTTAGGCCTGCACTCCCCCACCTGCTCCCCAGTCTTCTGGAAGACCTGGCATGGTGGGATGGGGCAGGGGAATCCCAGGGGACCTAGGGGGGAGCGAGATTCCGGGTAGGGAGAATGTGGGCGACCAGCTGTCCTTGGCGTGGTGTTGGAAGGCACAGGGAAGACCAGGAGGATAGTCCCAGCTGAGACGGGCAAAAGAGAGATGAGTCCCAGGATCCCCTGGGTAGCTGACCCTCACCCACAGAGCCAGGTCTTCTCACCCTCCACCCCAGGTCTGACCAAGGGCTCCTCAGCAATGGGACACAAACCTCTCAGTGTGGCTGGGGGAGGACAGGGTGGCTCCTGGGGACGTGATGTGACCGGGAAGGTAAAAAGATAAACTGGGGGCGGAGGGGACTGAGAACCATGCATGACCCCATCTCTCTGTCCCCAGGCTCGGCTCCCCGATGTCCAGGATCACACGGGAGACCCCTCTAGATGGGCTTGGACTGGTCCTGGAGGCCCGGGGTGTGCTACTGACTGGTGTACAGGCATGGGCCGGAGCAGCCCAGAGGGGAGCCAGGAGAGGCTGTGGCCCTGATCACACACCCCCCAGCCCCACGTCTGCTGTGACACCGGTTGCTCTGGGCCCAAGTACTCAGAGATCGTGGGACTGAAAAACCACAGTAGAGTGGTCAGCCCCCAGGGACCGAGGGGCCCAATCTCACAGCATCTGCCCCACTGAGCTGCCCAGCAGGAGTCTCGGTCCTGGGCGAATTACTCCTCCTGGCTCACCCCAGGGACTGGGGACTGAGGCTGGACCAAGGCTCCCACATGCCCCCAGCAGTTTCTCACGGACAGGGCCTGATGGCTTCCTTCCTCGTGCCAAGTCTCCTGGGAGTCCCTATTCCTGGTGATCCCTCCTCCATTCCACCCCTGGCCACCCAGGACCACATCTGGGAGCCCGCCAGCCTGCCGACTCCATCCGTAGACCTCCGGGGACAGCCTCGGAGAAAGGAGAGCAACAGGGGCTGTGAAGGGTGGGAGGAGGACCAGGGGCCTTCTTGGGGATGACACAGAGATGGGCCCCTTTCAAGCCCAGGTCTCGCCCTCTCGGGGTGAGTCGATCCCCAGCTGTAGCCTCTTCCTGGGCCAGCCGGGGAGGAGGAAGGCCTGAGAATGGCAGGAGGGAGGCTGCTCACTGAATGCGTGCTTGTGTCTCACAGGGAGAACTGTGCGTTTGAGCCTCAGGGGCCCCTGGCCTCACAGGCCCCCTCCTCTGCTGGGAAGCTGCACCGCATCTGGAGGCTCCGTGGCTCTGGCTTTGGCTGTCTCTGCTCTAAGGGAATGACTGGGGGAGGGGCCAGGGACCGGTCCTTAGCCTGTGTTCCTGCCACAGCTTGTCTTGCCATTTTGGCCTTGAGTAGTGAGCTGCTTCTGCTTTCCCACCTCTCCCCAACCCCACTGGGCCCTGGCTGCTTGGCGGGCTCTCAGTGCACTTTATTTATTTGCAGTCTGTTCGGCAGGCAGCGGAACTTCTGCAAAATCAGGGACCCCAGCCTGAGTAAGATGGCTTTCAATTTTCCGCGTGTGGTAACTCTGTACCGGTCAGAGGAATGTTCTTGTTTCTGGTGTTGTCGAATCTCGTTGTCTCTCTCAGTTAAGAAACAAGAAAGGAAAGAAAACCCTTAAGTTCAATAAAAGGGATAAAACTGGGGGCCTCCTGTTTCTGCTGTGGGGCAATAGCCTTGGAGGACAGACGTGAGATCACTCCGTAGGCCCAGGAGCTGGGGGAGGGGAGCAGCCTCAGAGGGCTGTAAGTGGGTCGGGCCTCTTCAGGAGATGCTTGGAGACGCCACTTGACCTGGCCACTGCCCCTGTGAGGAGAAGGCAGCAGCATAGGCCGGACCCACAGGTGGCAATCGTCCCACTCACAGCCTTGGTTTGAATAACCCAACACCTAACCTAGGTCCTGTCTTCATTTCAGAGCCCGGTGCTGGGAAGCGCTTAATTCAGTTGAACGCCAAGGGTGGGCTGGGGAAGTGAGGTGACCTAGTCTGTCCACACGCCACTTCCTTTCACCAGAAGCCCCTCTGCAGCAGCAGGTGGCAAGGTCCCCATCGCCTCTCTGCCGGCCAGGTGGTGCAGAGTTTTGGAGGAGATCAACCACAGGGACGGAAGCTTCCCGTCCCCCCACCTAAGCCCCTAACTGTCCCGTCGGAGCTCGAGCCCCGGCGCCTCCTCGGAGAAGCCAGGCCAGTGGTTCTGAGGCTGCTGCAGGGGTGAGTGTGGCGGGCGGGCAGAGGGTGGAGAGAGGGAGGGCTGGGGAAAGGCACAGTGGCCAGGATAGAGCCAAGCAGGACCACAGGCCCCAGGAGGGAGCCGTCCTGAGGACGCAGGATTCTGGTCACACTGAGGAGCAAAGCCTGGGTACGGGCCCTGGGTGTACTCCCCGCCTGTTGCCAAGAGCTCCCCCGGGGTCAAAGCGCCCTGACAAAGGAGACCCAACATGTGCCACCACAGGAGGGATGGACCCAGGTCCCTGCCAGTGCCCTGAGCTCCCCTCCCCTTTGTCCAGATGGTCCTGTTCAGTCCCTGAAGGTCTCACGCCCACTCCAGGAATCAGGTAGCCTGGCACAGCTAAGATGGGAGAGGATCAGACCAGAGCTCCAAGGCCCTCTGATGAGGGAGGACCCCCCTTCCTGGCTAGGGAGGAAGGCAGGCGGGCGCGCCCTATTCTGGTGAAGACCTGCCCCCTGAGCCCAGCTCCTCCACCAGCAACTGTGTGGCCACGCCAGCCACGTGCACGCACGCACGCACGCACGCACGCACGCACGCACTTCCAGTAAGGAGCCTTTGGGGTGGTTGTGAGCATTCGAGTTGGTGAGGTCTGTGCGACATTCGCCCTCAGACCGTATCACTCTGAGGAGGGAAAACCAAATGAAGGGAACTGGCATGCGATGAGGCCCTGTGGAGCTCCACGCACTGCGCTGGTTGGCTTGCTGCCATCACCTCATTATAACCCCACAGCCACCTGCTGAAGGAAGTCAGTGAGAGCATGTGACCACCAGTTAGCCCTGGAGCTGGACCCGGATAATCAGAGGCTTCTTACTCCCACCCCTGGCCTTGGAATGTACGTTCCACCCACCATTCCCATAGCCTAGAGCCTTTTCAAGGGCGGAGCCTTGGGAGAGGAAAGTGTTGAGACCACCTGGACGGTATAGGGACTGAACCCAGGTAAGGCCTCTATACAAACTTTCAGATTCTTGCAGCCACCCGAGACATGCCTTGAGTGTGTAAGTTCCCTAGCTTATTAAACCTGCCCCCCCACCCGCCTGGACTGGTCTGCCTGTTTACTCGCTTTCCCCTTGCCCTCCAGGCTCACTGATGTTGTTAGAGGCATAAAGGTTTGACTCTATATCTTCCTACTAGAAATATTTTGTCAGTATAAACAACCCCTCGTTGGCACGCTTCAGGCACGGTTCTTTGATTTGTTTTGTTGGAAACGGAAAATGCTATTTATTCAGTCCGTCACTTATCCAAGGATTCCTCGTCTTCCTGATTGGAGACTAGGGTGATTAGAAGCCAAGACCGTAGGTCTCTGCCTATTGACAACCATGAGGTTACCCCAGTGCCTTCAGTGCCAGTCCAAGAAGAGCACAGGGATCATGCCAGAATTCTGCCACCATTCACCTTTCCATGTCTATGGCCCCTTCCGGCAGGAGACCCTGACCTCCCAGTAGCCTCAGTACATTTGCTTATTTGCACAGCCCTCCTGTGTAATACTCCGACCCTGCTGGGCAGCCTTTCCATTCCAATCCCCTCATCTCACAGGCCCTGGCTTCCACCAGGCCACCCGCACACTTTTTGGGCAGGCTCACAGACCACCATGCTACCCTCGGTGTTCCGCCCTCCTCGGAAGGAAGGGGGAGGAAAAAGGGCTAAGCAGCAGTGTTCCATGGCCAACGTTGCTCAGACTCAGCCACCTCTGCAGGGGCTCAAACTCCACTGGCAGAGAAGCTGCAGGGAGATGCTGGCACCTGGAAGGCCAGGTCCATGCTGGGAGGAGAATGCTGACAGGAGAGACCGCCCTCCAAAGGGCCATCCTGAGCACACTGTGAATGTCCTCCTATGGGAAGAAGTGCCTCAGGGGCGGGAGCGCAGAGGTCAGGAAATGGCTACTGGGCTCATGGTCTGGGTGACACTATCCTTCTGCCTTCCCCACCCCCGCCCCGGTTGCATCTCCCTGACGGGGATGTAAAATGGACTTGACAAACTACGGAAGTTTTTTGAGGATTAAATGCCCTTGGGGCCCTGAGCCCAGCGTGTGACAGGCAGGCACACATTGATATTTCTCTCCCCCTCTTTCTCCCTCCCTTCCCCCGTCTCTAAAAGTAAAAAAAAAAAGAAAAAAAATCTTAAAGAAAATATCAACCCTGCGCCCTGCCTGGTCAGTTGGCTAGAACGACGTTCGCGAGTTCGATACCCGGCCAGGGCACGTGCCCGGGTTGCAGGTTCGATCCCTGGTCAGGGAGCATATGAGAAGGCAACGGATCGATGTTTCTCTCTCACAGCTCGCTCTCTCTCTCTCTCTGTCTGTCTCTCTCTCTTCCTCCCTCCCGCTCCCCCTTCACTCTCTAAAAGCAATGAAAAAATGCCCTCGGTTTAGGATTAAAAAAATCAGTCATGCAACATGCCATACATAGTAACCAAAAAGGAGAGTGTAGTAGACAACAAACAGTCCCTCAAAGTTGCCTGTGTCTTAATCCCCAGGATTTGAGAATACATTGCTATAGGGAATTAAAGTTACAGGTGACACTATATGGCCTCTAATCAGTTGACCTTAAAGTACCTAGATTAGCCTGGATTATCTAACCACATAAATTATGAAACGTGGAAGAGGGAGGCAGAAGAGTGGGTTAGAGAAGTGCCATGTGGGAAAGACTCAAGCCACCACTGTTGGCTTGGAAGATGCAGGAAGGGGCTAGGAGCCAAGGAACCTAGTGGCCTCTAGAAGCTGGGGATGGCCCTCAGGTTATAGACAGCAAGAAAGTGGGACTTGTGTCCTGCAACCACAGGGAACTGAACTCTGCCAATAGCCCAACTAAACAGGAAAGGGATTATCCCATAGAATCTCCAGAAAGGAATGTGATTCCGGTCTGGCAAGGCCCATACCAAACTTCTGGCCTACAGAGCTGTGAGATGATAAGTTGACGCTGTAAATTTGTGCTGACTTGTTGAGACAGCAATAGAAAATGAATACAAAGACAAAAATCCATATGATCATCCCGGTAGAACCAAAGAATAACGGCAGCTGCGGCCCTTCAAGGGGCGACAGGTAGAAAAGTGTCCACTTGGCTTCAAATACTCGCGTGTCTGTGAAACACAGCCAAACGCACCTTCTAATCAGGGCGCACTCTACTGGAAATGCAGAAAGGAATCTGCTGCAGGAACTTCTGGGGGGAAGCGTAGGGCAGGGAAGGGCCCCACGGCCTTCTCTGCCAGGACCTTCGCCACTTGGGATGGACAAGAGAGCCTGGGGCTTGGGTGGATGCAGGCCCAGCTGGGAGGACACTGGGACTCCAGCACTTGGGGACCCTCCCCCGCGCCCCCCCCCCACACGAGTGGAGCTGCCCCCACCTCCCTTCTCCCCACCCACTGGACCAGGGGTTGGGGAGCCCCTCTGGCCAGGGTCACGGCATGGGAGGATAAAGGGACTGAGAGAGGGTACATGGTGGGGTTCTGGTGGCCTCAGGCAATGTCCCTCCACAGAGCCCGCCCTCTTCCCTGTGGCCTTTCTCAGAAGAAGGCCACCGCCCGGGTCAGAAGCTTGACCACGGCCTGGCGCTCACCACACAAGACAAAGCACAAGGCTTCTGTCTCAGGGGCTGCCTCGCTGAGGCCCTCCGGTGACAGAGGACTCCAGGCGCCGCCCCTCCTGCCCCCTCTTCCCCCTGCCAACCCCCCTCCCCCAGTGGCTGTCCACTGGCTGTCCACCCCAGGACCTCACCCACCTAGGCTGCAGGCTCGCTGCCCCTGCCCCTGCCCCTGCCCCTGAGTGCACCCGGTGCACGGACTGTCCCCACCAAGGTCCGACCAATGGGAAGCAGCAGGTAGGGGAGGTCCTGCAGCCGCTAATGGGCAGAGGGTGGGGCTGTCTTGGCTCCCCCCATCATTGGTGAGGACGCAAATATGGTGGTCACAGGGAAGCGGGCTGGAGTCTGGGCCCTGCGTGCGCTTCGCGGGGCAGAGGGGCTCTTCTGTGAGGTCGCGGGGAGGATGGGAGCCTGGCACGGAAGCTGTGGTTTTTTGAGCAGGGTTGCAGCCCTGGAAGAGGTTGGCGGCTCCACCCTACCAACACCATGATTCTGGCATTTCCTGCCTCGTGGACAATGTCCTCTGACTGCAAAGTAGGGAGACCAGGCAAGGCCTGGTACAAACACCGTAGAGACACAATCTTTGACCAAGCGGGGTTTATTCCAGGAATGCAAAATTGGCTTAATATCTGCACACCGATTGTTATACGCGATGATAAAAGTAAAGGTGGGTGGGGCCGGGGGCGGGGAGGCGAGCGCCCTAATAGTTGCCCAGAAAAGGACCTGACAAAACCGAACACCCGCCCGCGATTAAATAAACACACACACACAAATAACTTTCAACAAATTTGGGATGGAAGGGAATTTCCTCAGCCTGGTAG